TAAATCACTCTAGTTTTAATAGTTTGGAACGGCCGTTCCTATTTGGGAACGGCCCGTTCTGGGTTACTAAATCACCCCTATTAAGTTTTGGGTCCTCGTATAATCTGTGAAAATTGGGCTGTTACAGTATGAGTTATCGGTGCTCTTTTTTCTTTCTATTTCAGAATAAAAATATTCAAATAATGACATTACAACTATATTTCACTTGAATCAAATCTTCTTTTTTTTTTTTTTCATGGTATTGGTAGGAGTACCTTTTGCCTTTGTCAGGAATTAATGTTCTTAGCGTTAAAGACTATCTTATCTGGCATCACTTTTTTTTTTTTTTTATCAAATCTACTTTAGTAATTATTTTCATCATGTCTTAAAAGTTAAAACATTTTCTTTTATTGAATGTTATATTTATAAACATTACTCGAGTGTCCTGTATGTGAAAATCAGTATATGGGCCATTTGCCCATTAGGTAGCTTGCTTGAAAAAACACCCAAAAAAAAAAACATTGCTTGCCCAAATTTAACTAAAATGTTATCTTAGAATTGTGTTTTTGGAAATAAACACGTATGGGTCCTAAACCCAACAAATAAGAAACGGTAGCTATAGGAAGGCATGGGTTAATGAACCAAAAACTAAAAAATAAAAAATAAAAAATAAAAAACAAAACAAAACAAAAAAAACACCGGTTTCTAGACCCAAACAATAAAATTGGTTTTAAGGATGTATTTTCTAAATTATTTAAATGCTTAGAGATTAAAATAAGTATTTGCATTAGTATTTTTTTTTACATAAAAACTTAGGTTATAAATTTGACCGTAAAAATTATAAAATAAATTAAAATGTGTATTTTAATAAATAACACAATAATTGTTGAAAAAACTGTGTATTTTTCATTATTTTCGTAAACTCAAATAATTTCTTTACCTGCTCTCTTAAACACCAAGCCAGTTTGGTCTCGATTGAATTTGAGAGGTTTACATAAAAATTTTCAAAATTTTGCAATAAATTATTTTATAGATGAAATAGATAAATTTAAATGTGTTTAAATTAATTTATTTTGTATTGAAATATTCACTCATATACTATGTATCATTTTTCTTGTCGATATGTTTAGTTTACATTGGACATGAAATAAAGAGGAAAAATAAGATTAATAAGTTGTTATTTTGAATGGTCCTATATTTAATTTCCTTAAACAAGGTCTTGGATTTGACTTTTGTGCGTAAAAAAGTGTGATTGGGAAAAAATATCTTATAAAAGATAATCATTCAAATTTTTCAATAGAGATTAATTATTGGTAAAGTCAGTAAATAATTTGTACCAATAACAAGATTGTAAAAAATAAAAAAGATAAATAAGAAAAAATGAATGAGAGTGATGAAAACATGAGAGAAATTAAATAAGTTAAAAAAAAAATACATTATTTTAATATATATATATATATATATATATATATATATA